AGCCAAAGGACGCCAGCTTGAGATGAGATGAAGTCCAAGAGTTAAATGCAATGCAACGTTAACTGATCCAGGGCGTGGTAAAATTGACGTCCAATGCTAATACTACAGCTTCCATGCAACGGCATTTTCTGTTCTTGAGGTGTACGACTCGTTTCGAAATCCTTGTTTGGCCATCAGGACAATTAAAAAAAAGTATCAACGGGACTCTGTATAGTCTAGAACGTTCAGCTCAAGTGTCATCGGAAAGAAAGACACACTCTGAATCTCTTCTCAAGAAGATTGGAACTAGCATTTGAAAGAGGACAAGTAACGAGTCCATCTTCAGCTCAACACCGGTCGTCGACGGGCATTCAAATATTCATCCATCGTCCTTCGTAGCCTTGCAATGGCATGTCAGCAAAGTGGCGTTGCTCTCGATCGACCTTGAAGTTGCAACTTGAACTCGTGTTGGGAATGCGCAAGGATCGCGCGACGCGCGCTCATTCATGGATGCATAGCCGGGCACCCTGCGGCCTGGCATGGGACATCAACTATTAATGGCTCTCACAACCAATGTCGTCTGCGTAGCATGTCAGACACCAAATTTCGAGTCCAATGAGAAGATGCTGTAAGTGGCTTGAAGCGGCGACAGCGCAAAAAGGAAGGTAAGCGACCAAAGAGAATGCGTTGATCGCGTGACGTAGATTCTAGAAGACTGACAACATATCGGTCAAATGCACTGTTCCCTGAAAGACAGTGATCGCGTGGCATCAAGGGGACGTAGTACATTTTCAAAAAAACGCTTGAGGAATTTGGCAAAGTTTGAGCTTCGACGATCTAGGGGGAAGCTTCTCACCATTGACGTGGTGGAGTATCAGAGTAGCCAGAAGCGATGTATTTGTCAATAAACTGAACACTGGTGTGTTGGCAGATGAACGAATATCAGCATCCGAAGAGACCACCTGGGAGGATGAACGAGCTCGTTGTAAGCGTGATCATGACGCCATTGAAGATGAAATGTATCTAAGCTTACAATATCTGACAGAAGGCCAGCTCCTTTGACGATAGTGGAAATGTCCCATGTGTATAGATGGCGGTTGCGGCAGCTTCAAAGTTCCATAGTCGCGTTATCTTCCAAGTGTGCTTGCGAGAATTGAAGATATTGAAAATTTGAAATGGTATTGATTTCGCGCACAGCCCACGTGGCTGTGTCGAACTTTGTGAGTCTCAAATTCCCAGCGATTGTCCATGCCAGCTGCACCACACTCTGAAATTCTGAATGTTTCAGCTCTGTTATCCGCCTGAACTCTAACACACAGACCGCACTTCCTTTGCGTGCCCCATCAATGTTTCGATAACCCTGCTCATGTCGACGTTCCATAATCACTGTCACTCCCGCCTTACCGGTGCGGAGCAACCTCAGAGTTTACCCAAAGTCGCTGACTTTTCACGCGATCCATTAAGTTAGCTTATTTATTCCTTACTGATTACCTGATGGCATTAGAGCTAAAATTGGGCTAAAATATGTATTCTTTAAACCTTCGGAACCATACCTCCTTCATCATTCAGTTTGTTAGCCTGATCACATCACTGGCACCCGCCTCGAACTTGAAGCACGCCATCCTTATCCACCAACTCACCATCGTCTTATCTGTGATGACAAGACCATGGCATCACCTTTATCCAAAATTCGAGGATCGGTGACTAACTTAATATCTGAGATATCACCAGTCTTCTTAGTGGTGCGCCCTAGTACTGTGTCCCTCCCGGATTGGATAAGAACTCGTCACAGATGGACTACCTAGAATGTGAACGTACGCAAATTTCTGCCGTTCACCTACCGTGACAGGCTAGTCAAAACAATGTCAACTGAAAGTATGCATATCAGCAGATGCCACTGATCAACATGTATGTGAATTCAATCCGCATGTGGCAAGCGGATGACCTTCCCGATGACATACATGTTGTGTCGGCCCCTTGCCGGAATACGATAAGACAAGGAAGCATTTCATACTGTGAACCCAAGGGCCAACAACCGGTGAGATTTACCTGTAACTCACCTATCAGTCGTTCACGCTAGGGCTGCAGGCACGGGTCGCTTTTGTCAAGTGCGGATAACTAGTCACCAATATTAATGTAGTAGGTGCACTAACTGCCTCGCAGGCAGTGGTAGCGACCTTCTTCCGGTTTCGTGGCATTTGACTAGAATGAATATCAAAAAGTGAAAGTTGCAAACGCACAAGTAACTCGCACCCGTTGGCTCAGTTGTATCGTCCGTTAAACGCGCTGTTTTCGCTGTTTGTCATGTATTGATAGGATGAGTCGGGGAACGGCCGTTATTGAAGACAAGTTCTATTACCCCGACGGTCTATCGGCAAGTCACGGCGGGCTATCATTGGTGCCAGGACATGATAGGAACACGATAGTTTGCTACAATGCTCTCCTCCCCACCAACTTGGAAATCAGGGACTGATGGAAAAAAGCACACGGACCGTAATACTAAGTATGTATCTGCCTTTGTCACACATCTTGCAATCCTGCAGCTGGCTAAATAGCATTCGATTCCATCGTCTCGGGCCAGTTGACTCCTTTAGGTGAATACCATGAACGATTTGATTTCAATTTTACCAGTATGTCCAAAACACGACTCGACGCCCTCTTCTGTCGAGTATAAAAAACAGCACCAAAAATCAAGTTGCCAACAACCTGGTCTCTACAAGTGAAGTAAACTTATCATGTTTATCCGCCTTTCTACTGCTTTCATTGTGCTCCTTGGCCTGACGACCATCGTCAGCGCTGGAGCGCCGGTAAGCCTCTCCTCGTGTCAAATCTGATCATATTTTGATACGGCATCCGCAGATTCCTCGTTACAAAATTAAGCCCGACGACACTGAAAGGACGACGCCCGTAAGCCTCTCCTCGCGTGAAATCTGATCATATTTTGATACAGCATGTGCAGGTTCCTCGTCGCACTGAACGTTAAGCCCTCGGACGACTAGAACTCATAAGCCTCAGGCCTGAAGCCCTTATCATCGTGTTGACGGCATATTGTACACGGGGCAACTGCTGTGCGGGATCGGGCCTTTAAGCAGAACCAATTACAAAGAATATTGAATATAAGTAGTGCTGGCAAAGATACGAGACAATTCCAGATGTCAGGCGCAATGCCGATTGTGTGTTTGAATCCGCGTATCTATCGAACTTGTGTAAAGTCCAACACTGGGGACAAGTACTTGTAGGTATAAAAAAGCTCATGCTCAAACGCTGCAGACATGATCGTTGAGTACAGGCGGAATTGACATAGAGTGAAACTCACCCTGTCCTCGTGGTAATTACTATTAATACTAATAGAAGACAAGTGACATGCCTTTTTGCATCCGTGTTTGATTTTGTCACGTCCGGTCGTTCAGGTAAGTGACTGATAGATTATTTATTGTGTACTATTTGTTCTCAAGAGACAGCCAATCTAGAATCCAGATTGTATGATCACATGAATCACTTTCCGACGGTCTGAGCCAAAAGGGCCCACTGATACAGAACAGAGCATCCATCACTGCCCACGCTAACTTAGATATCAAACAGGTGACTTTAAGATACCCATGCTGATTTATTCTAGCTCTGGGATAGTTGGCCTGATGGAAGTTTGTGCTCGCCTGTTTTCTCGGAAGGAAACCTATCAGACAGATTTCTTAATGAATCGGAGCACGTAAAGGTATAAGTACTACTGCTCCATAGTTTGGATGTCTTCATCAACTCCACATTGACAGTATGACGATATCCACACTTACTCTCAACGACGGCAATCAAGTTCCCTGGATCGCCTTTGGCACCGGCACAGCGCTTCGCGATCAAGATGTACAGAACCCTGTAGAAAGCGCCATCGTCAACGGTTTCACGCATCTCGACGGTGCCCAGATGTACAATAATGAAGAGAGCTTGGGCATGGCAATCAGGGCCTGTGGAACCCCGCGATCCGCGCTCTTCATTACTACTAAACTCAATGGACTGCAGCCTGACCAGACTGCCAAAACCGCACTACAGGTGTCATTGAAGAAATTAGGCTTAAAGTACGTGGATCTATACCTTGTGCACGCGCCCGGACATCATGCAGGCCGACTGAAGGAGGTGTGGAAGATGATGGAGGAGTGTAAGAGGGAAGGACTGGCGGAGTCCATTGGGGTATCGAATTTCGAAGTTGCACATTTGCAAGAGATCTTGGAGGGTGCCGAGTTTCCGCCTTCGGTTAACCAGGTGAGTTAAATCACCTCAGCGTCAGTATCAGTCTTGAATGACTCCCATGATAGGTAGAGCTCCACCCGTATGTGTGGAAATCTTTACAGCCTGTGATAGCCTTGCACAAAGAGCACGGCATCGTCACGTCCTCTTATGGTGGCCTGTCGCCCCTCTTTCGCGTACCCGGGGGACCCCTTGATCCCATCATTGAGAAAATACGGGAACGCCTTGAGTCCACGCGAGGGCAATCTGTGTCGGTCGGCCAGGTACTGATCAAGTGGTTGCAACAGAACGGTATCCTGGTTGTCACGTAAGTTCCATCTGTTCTGGATATGCTATATCGTTGTGGATGCTTACATATTATCGATCAGCACTTCGAGTAAGGCGGATAGGATGAGAGAGTATCTCGATACAGCCAATGTTCCAGAATTGACGGCTGAGGAGATTGAGTCGATTGAGAATGCTGGGGCGCAGCATTACTATAAATTCTTGGTATTGTCCGATTGATCAGAGGAGCAGTTATAATCAAAATAGAGGAGACTGCGAATGAGTCAGATGTACAAGCATATCTTTGCAAGTTTCTGATACCGTCATGATCTCGCTTCCTGAGCGCTCCACGTACATACTGACTCGAAGTCCTCAGAATCATTAATCAGGTGGAGGTGTGATGAACCTAAAGCATCGTGAGGTCAGCAAGAGGTCGGAGGAACAAGGCAGAGAAAAACGGCAGAATTGAGCGTGCTATAATTAACGTTCGGTCTAACGTTATTCAGTTACTTCAACTTGAACAAAGTAGCCCAACACTGCTAGTAACTAGAAGTTGTCGAACCTAATTATCTAGTTGACTCGTCAACCAAACTTGCCAGCTAATCGTTTCCTGCCTTCAAATTCAAGCTAGTCTATACAGGTGACATGTATTTTTTCATCAAACTCGTCCATAAATTTATATGAAAGAACAGTGCGCGCGTCCAAGTCACGCTTCAGATAAAGTCCAATCACGTCCATCTCCAGTCATTTTCCATCCTCCTCAGGCAACGTGTATGAGAGTCGCTGAACAATACACAACAGATGATGAATATGACATTGATTCGAAAGCTCTTGAAACGTCTGTTCCAAGTGTTGGCGACGCTCGCAACTTCATCTGCACGGCGACTGCTCATTCTCGTGTCATGCTTTCGACACTTCGTGGCCAAGGTTCATGTTCCAATCTCGCATGATACTAACTCCAAGTTTTCCACTGTAGACTCGCGTTGTACTGTCTTGACTGGGACTTCTGGTGCACAATGTTCCCAGTCCACCTTGCCATTACCGCTTCACACTACTCCGTCGAGTGCAGCAAGCTCCATGACTTCAACACCTCTGTACACCATGCCTGTTCCAAGCGTTCCACAGCTTGCTAATTCACCACAGACTCAGACGCCTTTGCCTCCAGCAGTCGGTAATGCAATCTCTCCCAATAGTCTTCCTATCACTCTCCATTTTCTGCCATCCGCTGTAGATCATAAATCACGTTACGAGAATCGTCCTTTTGTGTACGTGCATGCAATCAATCACAGTGAATGACCTTAAGAAGCCGCCCTCCAGAGATGCATCTCACTCCATCGGAATTTCAGCATTCATGAGGTCCTTCCCCAACCAGTGAGTGCACTAGCCAGGCATTTATGGGAAAGCGGATCACGAATAGTACAGATCATGTCCTTGGTTGAACGGCGAATGGCAGCCATGTATACATCCAGAAGGCGCGCTCTATCTGTACAATGGCCGCAAAGTAAGTAAGTCCGTATCTGTTATCGACCATCGATCACAATCCCTACAGAGAACTTCACTGAAGGACACATCAATGAATATTCGTTCCACTTGATGGACAGATGTGCGGATGAGCTATACGACTTGGCACGCACACAATCACCAAACTTTGACGCTGGTGATATCGAGCTCGTCGTGCAGGTAGTGCCGAATCAGACAGATTCTTGCCAGTACTACTTTGTCGATCATGAAACCCGAACTCTCTTTTGGCTACACGTTTATGACCAAGCGACAGAGACTGTCTTTGACGGTCTCCAAGGTGTCTGTGATCCGAGTCACATTCGTACGTTATGTGAACTTATGGCGCTCGTGATATGAACTAGTCAACAGGATATGCCTTGGAGTCTCAATACTGGTTTGTCACTTGTAATCGTGAGTCTCACCTACTTCTAGCTTACTTCTATTCGGACCGATTCCAACTTGATTGTTAATGTGTTTTTCAGATACAATCCGACCATCTTCGACTGAAACGAGTAGGATGCATTGCGAACGCTACCCGAAACACGAACTGAATCGAGACAAGCTCCTGAAAGAACTGAGGGAGGTTGTTGTCCATGCGAGTGCAGGTAATCGATCTCCTGTCATCATCTCTTTCTCCCTTTTTGAACTCAAAACTCAGAGATCATCACTTCGGATGCTTCTTTATCGCCCTTTGGTGCGGATGAGCTTTCCAAAATCCTGGAGCTGGTAAACCATCTTCAAGGTGCAACAAGTCTTGTTGGAACCGTTTACCTTGTAAAGTCTAAAATATTACATATTTCCAGAGAATGTTCAGGAAACCGAGTTCCCTCATTCCACTTGTGTCATTGGTACGTGAAGCTATTGCACAGTGCAATATACCCCTGAGATTCACTGTCTCGACAATAGCGAGATTCATGCATTACTTCTGTATGTTCTTAATTTTGACGTTTCGGCGGGCAGCTCATCTGTTTTAAAGGCAAAGCCAAATATTACAACTTCTGCGGTCTACCTTGCGCTCGTCTCGATGCCGACAAAGCTGTGTACGACGAAATTGCTAACTTTCATCCACTGATCAGTAGTCTTTCTTTGGCCCTTGACGCTATACTTTTTTGGGCACCACAAGCACACTTGTATGATCTTCGAAGGGTGTGGGTAGATAGGTGTATTAACTCACCGCGGTGGAAAGATTACAATGCAAAGCTCATGGCAGAGTGGACTGGAATCACCATCTACGTGCGTATCATCAACTTAACATCGCACGTCATGATTGTATCCTGAGTTTTTTTCCACCAGTCCACCGTCATGTTGGCTGTAGATTTGAGTTTTCTCGCAGTACCGAATGTGAACATTTCCACGTCAGAGTCGGTTGGGATCATTACCATATATCTCTCGATCATCTCGATCACCGGCTCCTTGGTCGTCTCAGTCCTGCTGGTCCGTCAAAACCAGAGATATGGTTGTGAATCAGCGGACAAAGCAGTGAGTCGTTGCCTTGGCGCGTATCTATCTCGTGCTAACCAGTCTGTACAGGGAGACTTCCTGTACAATATGACTGACACGTTTTTTGGGGATAAAGGCCTTGCGACGATCAATAGTCTCCCTTACGCGATGCTCATGTGGGGGTAAGTAGGATCGATATTCTCTGACTGGGGCTAATGACAATAACGTTTCCCCTCACTAGGATGATTTACTTCTCAATCGCCCTGCTGTACAACGTGTTCAAGTCTACGACAACGGCCATGTTGGCGTCAGTCATCAGTGTATGCGTGGTTGTTACCATGTTTATATTGTGGTTCGTCTGGGCAGCGAGAGAGCTACATATCTTCAGGCGACTGATTGAGCTCATTTTATCTGCTAGAAGGCGCGTCTTAGCACACATTGGGGTTCCTTGAACTTCATGAGACGATAAGACAATTTTGACTTTTTTTTGTACATCACAATTTGACTCATCCGATAACCCCCCCCCCCCCCCCCCCCAAATAGCCCACGGATTATTATACGCTGATGTAGCCAAGAAATACTCTATAATGATAAAAGCCATGGAGATGAGATAAAAATCATAAACGCGAAGAACATGGGAGCCAAGACGTTGCAACAAACTCCGAGCATGCCTGCTTTATAGTAGTGAATTCATGCTCGTAGCATGAAATATCTAGGAATCGCTTCGTGAAGGTCTTGAACGAACCCGCTGATTCGTAGACGAAAGTTCACATCACAGCGGCTGTGATGTAAACTCAAGCCTGGACAGCCGTTCGCAGCAAAAATTTGCAAGCTACGAAGAAGCCACACTGCATACGGAGAGGAAGCATCCGGCTTCAACGATGAGCTGAGCCACGTCCGAGATGCGTTCTCGCAACCAGCGCAAATAGCTGTGGTGTGTCCACCTGGCCGCTCGTCTTTACCAGTCAAGATTGCGTATAGATGATCTTGAAGGTGTTCGCGTCCGACTATGAAGCACCGGAGGTCGGATGAGGACAATTGGAGGTGGCTTTGACCGCCCTCGGATAGATGGCTCCAACGGAGAATCGAAAGCGCGTAGAATGAGGCGGGGAGGATCTCAGGAACATTACATTCTCGTGCAAGGCATATGGCCTCTAGGATACATTTTAGACCGATCTACAGGAGAAAAGGGAAGCTCACCAGCAGCATGAGGGAATGCGGCATAGGTCATTTTGGTGAGGTCTTGGGGCCAGCGCAGAAATAGCTGACGCATGCTCCATTGACGGAGGTCTGGGATATCATATTTGTTGGATAGTCGTAGGGCGCCGGCTATGGTATCAAAGACAACCGTTTGGCTATTGAACTTCCTAGAGATGTGGTCGTATACAATCATAGTTCTATGGATGAGGAGATGGCTTACTCGCGTTGGTACATCCACGTCAAGACGACTAGCCAGTCATTCGCGGAATCTTGCGATAAACTAACCAGAGGACACCCATCCATTCTCTCGATGTTGGCCGGCTGTGGAAGTTCGAGCATGTCCGCAAAAATTACAGAACACATGAGCTTGCTCCGGTGAATCTTCCATGATTGTCCTTCAACACCAATCACAATGTCCCCGTCCGCAAACCAAAACTGCGACTGTTCAATTAATGATTCAGATTTTCTGCAGTGGCTCGTGCGTTGTCGTTTTGCTGAAGGAGGCGATGTCTGCATATCCTCGTCTGCACCGTGCATTGTTAAAGGTTTGGAGTTGTAGTTGACATTATAGTTCAAGTTATGCGTGATGCCATTGACCTAATGTCGGTGGCGTGGAAATAGACGCGTCGCGTCGCGTCTAATCGTGGTACCAAAATGTCCTGGTAAATGAAGTGAGGTTGTTCTATACGTCATCATTCTACGTCGCCACCAGTATCATCTCCCGCAATTTCAAGCTTCCGTTTACGCCCAGGCAGTTCAGCACCATCACCATATCCCACACCCGCCTTCTTCCGTAGCACCTCTATATCCTGTTCAGCCTCTTCCGCCCACTGAAGTACAAGATGTCTCCCAAGTAAATGCGTGTGCCGTAGTGCAGCGTACGCATTCTCCGCTTCATGCCGGGTGAGGAAGTCCAAGAACGCGAAACCACGCGAACGCGAGTCGAACTTCTTCGGAAGACGTACAGATTTGAGATGACCATGGGCACTGTATAGGTCCAGGTTGAGTGAGATGTTAGGAACATAGACGGTAGATTGTACTGACCCAAACAGCTCTCTGATATCCTTCTTCGTAGCTTCGAATGGAACGTTTTTCACTATCATCTTCGTCGTTGTGCTCTTGGCGACTGTATTGTCCTTAGGCTCGTCTTCTGTTCCGCGCCCAGCGAACTTGACGTGCAATGAATGACCGTCAAGTGTAAAGCCTTGCATACTCTTCATAGCCTTCTTCGCATCTTCGGCCGTCTTGAACCCTACGAAGCCATATCCCATACTCAGCCGGGGGGCTTCAGCACCAGGAACAGTAGGTCGTTTGGGATCAGGCTTGGTCTGTACTCGCGCGAACGAGAATCCAGGAAGACCCCGGAAGACTTGTATCAGACGCTCTGGAGTGGTACTGAAAGCCAGATTCTTGACGAACAAAGTCGACCCAGCAGACAAAGCAGGCTCGTCCGCATCAGCACTTCCGCCAGCTTCCTGCTCGGCGATAGTGATCGGCTTGAATGCAGTTAGCGTACGGCCAGAGTTTCCTGGTGCATCTGCAGTCTCCTGGAACATGCCCATCGGACCCTTCTCCAAGTAGACGACACTACTCCCGAGACGCCGATAAGCTACAGCTCGAAAAGCCTTGGCAGCTTCATCTGCCTGTCCGAATTCTACCACCGCCATGGTACCTGCCGGTGGTACGATAACGCGGCTGAGTTCTCCGTGCGACTCAAACATCTCACGTATCTGTTCTGCAGTGGTACCATAGGGAATGTTCTTCACGAGTATCGTAGTATCGGATCGCGCTCGGGAAGAAAATGACGATAAGATGACCCCCTGGGACTCTAGGTACGACTTCGTCTCTTGGATAACGTGCGTCTCTGCAAGCGCAAGCTTGACTGCCGCGTTATCTGACTCAGGATTCAAAATATCTGCCTTGGCAATTCCCATCCGATCGGCAATAGACGATGCCACTGCATCACTCTGCACATGCATTGCATGAGATCTCGATATATAGTGCATAACATGACAAGGGCTTGACGAACATTCATGTACAACATACTCCAATTGAAATCGCGCCCAGCCGTGGCTTTACGCCGAGAACTCTTCTCATCTTTTAACGTTTGTTTTTTACCCTCGCCTTCTACTACTTCAAACTTGCCTTTTTGGTCAACAGCAGGAATGATGTGGAGAAGACGACCTTGGAAGGACGTCTTGTCTAGCGCCTCGTACGCCGAGAGGGCAGACGTTGGTTGCTTGAAGGTCACGTACGCTAAACCCTTCGACTTCTTAGACAAGGAGTCGATGAGCATATGGACCTGGTAGGATAGGAATGAGTCAGCGATGTGATCGGCGACACAAATTGTAAAATGGAAATAGAAGTCAGATAATTTTTCTACTATTGGTTCCCGGGGATCAGCACATCCCTGGAGGATCAGATGTCCCTAAGTGTTTATCATCAAGAGAAGAGAAGGATGTGGAGAATATACGACAAGGCTACGAGATGCTCACCTGTACAATTTCTCCGAACGGTTGAACTAGCTCCATAATCTCGGCTTCCGTGCATGAGAAAGCAAGATTTCGAAGGAATAATCGAGACGTCTGCATAATCGTTTTCGTTGTCGAGTCCTGGTGTTCTTCAGGAATGGGGCTCTGATTGACCTCGTCCTCGTCATCCGACTGCTCAAAGACTTTATCGGGTGGTGAATCTGACTCCAGGTTCATACGTCGTCGCATCCATTCGAGGTCCGAGACAGCCTCGTTATTATCTGGTTCATCAGATGTCGTCGTTGTGTCGGGAGGGCCGGCCGGTAGCGCTGGATGAGATTCCTTAGCTTCATTTGCCCACGACGGGCCCTTTTTTGTGCGGGGTTGCATGACATCCATGAACTCATCTAGCGCTGATGTTGAAGGGGCTGGTGCGCTCGTCTTACCATTCTTATCCGACTTGTGAACATGGGGTCGCGATGACGGCCCTGGGTCTGTATCAGTATCTTCCAGGCGCCTTCTTTTATTTGGCCGAGGAGCAGGAGCATCTTTTGCGCCCTGCAAGCAAATTTTTAGAAATAAAATACCAACACCTGGCAAGGGAGAAAAAAACTCACTGTGACAACCGTAACATTGATTCGCGTCGAGTCGATGAAAGTGCGGTCGAACCAGTCCCTTGCAGCACTTGCTTCTTGATCTGTCTTGAAGCCAACGAAACCGAATCGACGCGATGTACCATCTTGCTTGAGTGAAATTTTCACATCTGTAATAGTTCCAGAGGGGGCACCTTGCTGTGTGAAGTGGTTTCTGAGGCGATCTGGCGTCAGGTATGCGGGTAGATTTTTTACAATCAAACGGGACATCGTTGCAAAAACTTGTGAGGACGACAAGAAAAATAACACCAATTCTAACTCCGACCGGATATACCCGTCTTCATTCAACCCGACACGCTTGACAGTTGACACCGACACACTATGTTAGGGATAACCGTGAGTTTCCCGTATAAGGCGGATATCGTACAGGTTGTCAGAAGCTGCGTCGCCCCTGCGAGGATCTTGTAAAAGCCAGGTTAAAAGCTACGATCGAAGACAGCAGCTGACGGTGATGGAAGTCAACACTAGCTAGGGTATCCAATGGAAAGAAGGGATGCATATAGTTTAAGAAGCCGGGGTGATCGACTTACCATTGGCTGACTAGGCACTCGCACCGGATGAATTTCATAATGACTCCGTCACGAGAAACTCGGATCCGGAGACTCTGGCCCGAGCATCAAGCTTGCAAGTCCATTGGTTCGTTGCCACCATGATTTCAAATCCCTTGAAGCGCGATTCCGCGCACATAGACTTAATACAGGACCAGGAGATATATATAACCTGTCACTCCCACCACTCACGAGCTCGTTCCTTGGCTTCTTCCAACATGTCTGTGAACATGACAAATGCTCAAATCCACCCCAAATCCGCCCCTCCTACTTCTTCCCCATTGTCCGACACACTTCCACATATCAACCCAATCACAGGTCCTGCAATGGATCTTTACGAGGACGGTTACAGCGATCCAGTCTATCAGGCGAAAGCTCGCATCTTGAATCATGCAATACAAGACATCGGCATGGGTAGATATCAGGTCTGTCGCATTCCGTAATGAACGTCTATCTCATTCATGAGAACTCAAAATAATAGTGGTATCTCTTTGTGGTCACTGGCTTTGGCTGGTTTGCGTGAGTCATATTGTGACCACTTCATGCATGATTCCTGATGCGAACGTGAAAAGTGACTCTGTCTGGCCCGTGTGTTTATCCATCTCTGCCGTATTTTCACTGGACTGAGGTTATCTGTAGCTTTTGAGCGGGCTCATCCTTACCCCTGTCGTCAATGAATTCCACTTCGACGGCCCTTTCCTGTCGTTAGCTTCAAATATAGGCCTTCTTGTCGGTGCCGTGTTTTGGGGTCTTGGGTGTGACATCTGGGGACGCAGGTACGTATAGAATACCGCCATATTTCGTTCTCTTCACGCTTCATGCGATGCTTAGGTGGTCTTTCAACGCCACATTGTTTATCGCTGGAATATTCGGCTTAGTATCGGGTGGAGCTCCTACTTTCGTTGCACTAGCATCCTTGATCGCTATGGTCGGTGTCGGCGTGGGAGGTCTGCCCTCTTCATTTCTCTTCAAAAAGGACGTTTTATGACCATCTCACAGGCAACATGCCAGTGGATTCTGCCGTTTTTCTTGGTGATAAGCAGTTTGCATCTGGACGTGGCAGATAACTCATTGTAATCCTACCAGACTTCGTCCCAGGTTCCCACCAGTACTTGCTCACCATCCTTTCCATTTGGTGGTGTCTCGGACAGTTACTGTCCAGTCTCGTGCGTATCACACGTCTCTTCATCCGCGCGATCGCTAATGAGACTTCAAGATCGCATGGCCTCTGATCGCTAATTATTCTTGTGCGAGTGCCTCACACTGCACCAGATCCGACAATATGGGATGGCGTTACCTGTTATTCACCCTTGGCGGAATTACCCTCTCACTGTGGGCCGTTCGGTTTTTCATCTTCACGTTGTTGGAGAGCCCGCGGTTCCTCTCTGGCATCGGTCGTGACGCTGATGCTATCGAGGTCATCCACAAATTAGCGGAATTCAACGGAAAGACATCTTCCCTCACATTGGAAGAGCTTGAGGCTCCCGACAGAGCAATGCCAGGCAAACGTTCATCCTCCGGGGAAAGGCGCAACATAATCAGCAAAAGTTCCAAGTACGACACTGGTCATATTAAAGCTCTCTTTGCTACTCCCAAAATGGCTTGGTCGACTAGTCTATTGATTGCCATCTGGGGTAAAGGTGTAGTCATCATTGTGCGTGCAATGACTAATGAAACACAGGTCTCATCGGACTTGCCTCTACGCTGTATAACAATTTCCTGCCATATCTGTAAGTCTTCAAATTGGGTATATACTGTTTGTTTGTCTCATGCATCGTAGACTTTCCAGCCGTGGTGCTGTCTTCGGGGATGGATCCCTGTACATTACTTATCGCAACGTACGTATAATACTTCGTTCCATGTTCTATAGCTGAAGCTGCTGTACAGCAAGTCATTTTGAGTGTCATGGGTATTCCTGCCGCCTTACTCGCAGGTTGGGCAGTAGAACTCCCATACATTGGGCGCAAGGGTACTCTTGCTATTGCCTCAGGCAAGTAAAAAGATAGTACCAGGCGCGTCCTTTACTCAACGACCTCCCGCAAAATAAAGGGCTCACTGGCGCGTTTTTGTTCGCGACCACCACTGCCCGGACATCTAACCAACTCCTGGGGTGGAATTGCGGATACGTGTTCTTCAGCAACGTAAGTAAATTAGTGTGTCGGACTGGGAGACTAGATTAAATGTGGTTAGATGATGTATGGCGTCTTGTATGCTATTTCTCCCGAAATCTTTCCTGCGAAAGATCGCGGAACAGGGAATGGTCTGACGTCCACAGCCTCGAGGGTGTTTGGTGTTTTGGTGCGCTCACTTACCATCTCGCACTACTTGTCCTTATTGTGTCCTGAATCTTAGGCCCCCATCATTGCGCTATATGCCAACCTCACGACGGCGGCACCTGTATATATCGCTGGAGCTCTGGTTATTTTTGCTGGTAACCTGGCTCTCTTGTTGCCCTATGAGCCCAGAGGTAAGGTTTCTATCTAGAGTTTTTCACTTGCGATATCATGCTTCGGTTGCTCGTGGAACTTGGATTGTAGGTCATGTATTAGATGTATTAGATGATCCAAGAGATTGCTCTTGTACTTTCTCCAATGTAGCGTGCGAACCCTTAGAAAATAATGTCTATGCAGAGAAGACTGTACCTATGTGACTTTGGAGCGGAAGAAGGTTGCAGAATAAATCTTCGGCAACGCGTGAACAACAGTTATATTCTCCATCCGCATTTGGATATCAACATATATGTTCATACAGCCAAATACTCCCGACTCCGCTAACAAATTTAAGAGGAAACAGCCGAGACTTGACTTGCAAGTGTTTGATCTTTCTCCGAATTTCTAGTTGTCTCTGTATTTCCCCCTCTATTCTATGCGAAGACGATTCCGTGGTGTGATTCGTGATTGTGTAGTCACCTTGATTGATGCGGTGGTTGCTCGAGCTCAGAGATCTGTGGTGAAATTCATACTGTTGTGGTTTGTGGACGCGTTATTTTATATTGTTGTACACGCGTTTCCACACATTTACGTCCCAGTTTAGAAACTCTTCCCCGCCCCGAGCATTCAAATATTCAATATTCATAGGAGGGCACGAGCTGCCATTCAAGTAACTGGGCTAGAATGCGGAGAAATAAATTTTCAAGATGACCCAGAGTTTCTTGTGGAATTCCACCGTTCTGGTAATGAGCACAACCACTGTGCTTGTTTTTATATTTGTTTTTTTTCGATGCCATAGTGGCCTGCACTACTAGCCAGCACCCTGCCATATTTGTGGATCGTGCCACAGCACATAGTATTATATATTCTGCTTTTTCTCTCCTCAACTTCATCCATCTCGTCTTCCGCTTACTGTACTTTCCATCAGTCATGAGTAACATCATGATCCCCCCTGCACTCGATAGTCGAAGAGTTACTCTTGAACTAACTACACATCTTTGCTCCCAAGACCATATTCTGCACGGCATCAATGAAATCATAAAATTCCAGCATTCAGAAGACGCCGAATTACAACGCCACGGTCGAAAGGTATTGTCTCTGCCATCAAACGTCTCCTCCAGTAATCAACTGACGATCATTCCTGCAGATCATCTCCCTGGCCGAGGTAAAAATAATGCTCATCATCGAAAGATCTTTAATAACACTGTCGGTAATCCAGGTCGCCCGCAGCACTCTTAGACGTTTAAAAGTAGGATTGTACCTGTTCATCGCTTGTTCAGAGGATTTGCTGCCGTTCAAGTCTGCGTACTTTAAATTGCTTCTTTTTATCGAACGCCGGAGGCACGCCTTTGATACTGACCTGAATGGTAAATTTCTGTTGTTTTTTTGTTTTATTCCTTCTGACCATCCGTACAGAGAGAATATCTAGGCTCTTGGATCCTCTGTATACTCGGTTTGTCGTATGTGGCGCAGGTGTCGACCCCCGTGACCAGTTGGGCATCGAGGGATTACCACCCCCTCCTGACATACCAGCTGCTTGGAAAATCCCTATACTGCCTGCACTGCCTGCGACTGAGGTGGCGTCACCAGAAAAACAAGACGTGGCGTCCGATACCATGCTACGTATGTGAACCTTTTTCGATATCCCGGAGACATATATTAATGGACGATTTCTAGCACCTGATGCCTTCGAGAAAAAAATGAAGAGACTCGCCCGACTTGGGGAGTTTATAAAAGACCAGGCTATGAAGAAGTTCCTGTTCCGTCGTGCACGAAAACAGCTCAAGCAGAAGGCATACCTGACTGGCAACCCGGGGGAAAAACGTCTAGTACCTAAGCAGTATGCAACAGGCAACCCGGAGACGGGACGTCTCGTACCTCAGCAATGCGCAACGGGCAACAAGGACGCAGGACGTCCCGTGCCTAAGCAATGCGCAACGGGCAACAAGGACACAGGCCGTCCCGTGCCTAAGCAACACGCAACAGGTAACCCGGAGGAAAGGCGTCTTGCACCTAAACAATACGGAATTGGCAAACCTGGAGCAAAACGTATGATACCTCAACAATACCCAGCAGGCAGGCCGAAGAAACACCGGGTTATAGTGCCTAAGCCAGCGGGCGACGCTAAACTGGGCACCGACGTGAAGCCTGCGTGTCCTGGAAGGATGTTGACTCGAACGTATGCCCAATTCTTTGACTGACAATGTTTGATCGGACACGTAACTAAACTGTCACCCGCATCCCTGACACCTGTCATATCATGATATCTACGTACTGTATCGCATCTAGTGGAAAGAACATCATTATTAGAACATTATTATCACCTTCTGTATCGTGGTTGTCCTTCGAAGTTTCAATTGTGTAATAATATATCCGTTGTCGCATTATCCTCTTAGTGGACGAACAACTGACCATTCTCAGCGGCTGCACAACAAAGCTCGGAGAGAAAGTCATGTATGATTGTCAGGCCATCCTGCTGGATTCTCGACAGAAGTACAACGTGAGAGGATAGATCCAGTACCGCAGAATCGTATCGAACCAATGGAGAAACACATGAATGTTGACTCGTAAGACAGAACTACCGGACGCGATACTATAACGCTGCTAAGTGAGTTCGAAGGGGAAAGTGAACGAAGTTAGGTTTGATACGAGACGAGAGAAAATGACAGTGTTAGACGAGTATATAGATGAGACGTTGGATACGTTCTAAACGGCTTCTGAGGTGCTTTGCCAGAGCGGGAAACTGGGTATAATTCACTGCTAGGTATAAGAGTACATGGCTGTATATAACCGCGAAACAGTAAAGGTCCTCGGGCATGGCTACGCCGAATGATTAGGTGAAACGGAGGCAGAAAGTAAGTGGCGTTGAGCCTGACAGGGTGGAGTAGTAAGGGAGTACGAGAAACTGAATGAGTGACGGTATGAAAGGGTTAGGTTTGGACAGAGTGACGAGAGAAGTCGTGGTCGGGGCGTAGAGGATATACGATCCTTACAACACGGAAGGGCTAGATTAACATAGATGAAGATACTAGCCAGGCATAAAGAGAATCAGGCGCTTGCACAGCTTGGGCACTGGCTGCGGCACTGCCCAAGCTGTGCAACGAACGAATAGAGGATCCTCAGATATAACACTGTGAAAGGATTAAACAACAACATTGTTCCCAAATTGAACAAAAGCCACTCCATCGCAATTTTCGTCCCCATTTGTGCGAACATCTGCATTCTGATCAAGTAGGTGATTGATTCGTGGGGCACATGATGTTAAGAGCTGACATTACCCTTTGCTCCTTATGGAAGTCACCGAACCAACAATATGTCGTACCCAGCCCCTGCGGATCAAGAGGCTCCAGGGAACACACCTTACCGGAAGATTGAAACAGTTAGATTCAGATCAGAAGAAGCGACAGGGGATGATAGGGTCAGACATATCCTACACCTACCCGAAGGCCAGCGAATCATCAAGGTGTCAGGCTCGATTTCAATCTGGGACTTGGAGCAGGGTACACAGGTTGGGGAGGAATGGGAGGACAAACACGTGAGAGTGCGCGCCATAGCATTGTCGCCGTGCGGTAAGACAGTAGCGACCGGGTGTGAGGACGGCGCAGTAAAACTATGGGACATCGACACGGGAAAGGTCATCAAAACCTGTACGGGACACACGCAAGAAGTGAAATCTGTGTGCTGGAGTCCAGACGGAGGGCGAGTGGTGAGCAGGGCCTTCAAAGAGATCAGAGTTTGGGATGTCGAGAGTGGAAAAACTATCGTTGGACCAATCGACGCGGGGGTTAACGTGTCCGCGGTTTGCTACTCGCCAGATGGAAAGATGATTACCACGGGCGGAGTTAACCTGAAAATCTGGGATGCCAACTCGGGCAAATTGCTCAAAACACTCGAAGGTTTTTTTACGTGCCTGGCATGGACCTCGAATGGGAAAACACTTATCGCCGGGCCCAAGATCACGAAATTCGACACAGCCACATGGACCGTTCTTCAAGTTGATGTGCGCAAAAACGTCGTCGATACCATTTCAATATCTCCCGATGAACGCGTCCTCGCAAGTACAACGCACTTGGACAAGACAGTGCAGCTGTGGAACCTTGAAACCAATGAGCCCATCGCAACACAACTCCACCATGAAGACCCGGTGAACTGCGCGACCTTTTCAGCGGATGGGAAGCTGCTCGTCACTGGCTGCGACAGCGGCCACATATACACATGGGACGTTTCCGCTATCGTTGAAGAAGCTGGCCTTCCGTCAAATATTGTAAGCTTAGATGCATTCTTGATGATACTGACGATCGATCTTCTCTTCCAGGCTGATGCTACACGACCAGCCCCAAAGATCAAAGATGCTCGTCAAATACCCCAAGGGTTTTTCGATGGTGTACGTGATCCACATTTATCATTGAATGTTAGTGTGTAACCGAATGATACGGTTACCAGTTCAAGTCTAGCTCGCGTACTCATCCATCCCAATCTCATGGGCACCATGACAGCCCCACTCCAGCACCGCGTCAACGCATCTTCAGCCGTTTTTCCTCTTTCTGGCGCCGCTCCAAGTCCCACATGGGAGCTGAACGTGAGACCCAGCCTCGATCTCACCCTCTCAGTTGGACTCGAAACATGGTCTCTGACATGCTACGCAGACGAGATGGATCAGATATAGTTGATGTCCCATACACAGGTCTCCAGCCTGTATGCGTTTTATCTTTATCGTCCGTTTTTATTACCGATTTTTTTCCCGCAGAAAAACTATCACGCGAAAAAGAAGTCAGCTGCTGGCTCGTCTCAACCTCCAAATCCTCCTACCATGCAACAACAGACTGGCGCAGCAATACAGAGCACACCATCATCGTCTCAGACACCACCTCCCACTGCCACTTCGACACTTTCCGCTGTCACTGCTGCCCCGGGGATAACAGGAACGATATCGCGTCCTGACGTCACCATCAGACAGGCCGGATGGGGGATTCGTCTTATGCTCTGGGCTACTTGCGCGTCTGTTGAGTATACAATCAATCAACCTTAGGGAAGCACTTTTCTTTGGTGTTTCATTCGCACTTGGAATAATTAGTCAATATTCTCATGTTATTATTGTATAGTATTTCATTCGTTAGTTCATCAGCATTCAGTTACTGAGTTCATATAAGTCGACTATTTCCTTGTCACCATGGGCTGGACGAATGTTGCCGACGATTTCTTCACAGTAGAACATACAATGTTGGGTACGACAACACAGGACCCAGTAAACCTCATCTGATATCTTACAGATCAAACGTTGCCCGACCATCTACCGAAAATTGTTTCCCTTCGAATTCTATTTACACGCTATCTCGATTTCAATGCTGTGCCTCGTCGCTCTTTTTTCCAACTCCTGCGATATTTCGCTACCGATGAGCTCGAACGCGAAAAACTTGATGAATTTGTATCGATAGAAGGAGCGGTACGTCAGGTATCCTCAGTTTTCTTTCTTTTATTGAAGACGTGCAGGACGAAATGTATGATTATTGTCAACGCGTGAAACGTACGACCTGGGAAGTATTGTCCGAGTTCCGGTCCGCAAGGATACCAAGAGAGTATGTCTTTGACTTGTTCCCTCCACTGAGACCGAGAGAGTTCTCAATTGCTAGTTCCGTCGAGGTGAGCTACTTAAAATGCGTTCACTGCAGTTCAATTCACCTCTGGGTTTCGTCAGTTCCATCCCCGTGAAATCCATCTCTGTGTTGCTATAGTACGCTATCGCACAAAGTTGAAAATGCATCGGAAAGGCGTCTGCACTAGTTATCTATCAGGGCTCAAATTAGGTCCGCACGGCGTTGTAGCGTAGTACCTGAACTCATATCATCTCCAGGAGATACCCTTCGTATCGGTCTCAGAAAGGGCTTCATTTCACTTCCTACGGATCCAAACACACCAGTGGTGTGTGTGGGTCCAGGGACAGGCATCGCACCTATGCGTGCCGTCATTGAACAACGCATACACGAGGGACACACTAGTATGTTTGGTTGTCTTTGTATATCAGTTGATCCTTGATGACCCCAGATACTACCTTATACTTCGGTTGCCGTTCTGCACACAAGGATCAGCATTATCACGCGGAATGGGAATCTCATGCGGAAGAACGAAAACTGCGGTACCGCGTTGCGTGTTCTCGTGATGGACCAGAGGGCGTCAAACGGACGTATGTGCAAGATCTGATGAAAGAGGATGCACAGTATATTTGGACAATGCTGGGGCAGCAACGAGGCATCCTTATCATTTCAGGGTGGGTCCAGATTACATGTAACACGTAATGAACCCTAAGCCTTTCTGATAGTTCTTCGAACAAAATGCCTACTGCCGTCCGTGAAGCTGTGCGAGGTGCAGTAGAGAGGTTCGGAGGAAGGTCGAATGCTGAGGCTGTGGAGTATGTTGCTGCGATGGAGAGGGAGGGAAGGTTAATTGAGGAATGTTGGAGCTGAGAATATTCGGAACTAGTGAGCATCAAATCGTGAAGAAGACGATACACTTTGATAAGCAGATTTCGCAATTTCCGTTGGTCGCATCAAACCTTTGGGCTCAACCCTAGGCCTGTGATCATTGTTTGAGTTGTTCTTCGAGTAAATGCCCATGTACAGCCTTGATAATTATTCAATGGCAGCCCTCAATTCTCGTGTAAAAGCTATAAGCTACAGCAAGTGATATTGTGATTTGGAGACCTAGCATTGGGCGTAAGCACTTCGGAACTTCCGACCGGTATACAGCTGCGTGACCTCACTAGGAGCAACTCGAGAGCATCACTAATGTTTCTGGCATCCACAAGCGCATCGGAGATGCATGTAGTAGCACTGAGTCAGCACAAGATCGCCGTGGATGCAGTCTCTACTTCGGTTTGTCATTCTGGTTCCCTTACAGACTCGGATGACTCTGGAGCGCAAAGGCTCAATGCTCTCAGACGAACAACGTGCACGCTCACATTACCCCAGCCTGACACTCCACACCCTTCCTTGTTAAATTCGTTGTATTTTTTCCTCAGTCTGAGACATCTGATCAGTGATTCCAGTGGGAAGATGGATGACGCAGGAACTAGATACTTACGTGCCGAAACGGGTTGAAACTGGTTTTATGAATGCCTTGGGGTCCTCCTTGAAGAGTCGTTGAACCTCCAGATCCTCGTCGTTCGAAAATACAGCTTGTGCGACCTGTGAATACACAACATCTCTCGAAGTACCACTCTGCTTCTTCTTCCGACCTTGCTCCTTGGCATCCTTTACAGAATCAGAGAAAAGCTTGATGCGTGCGTCTTCATTTTCCTTGCACCAGGCAAGTAGGCGTTCAGTACGAGCACTACGGACCCCCTCCCAATGGATAGTACACTTCTTTGAGGTGTCCGTACCAGCAGATGTATTGGTTCGACCTCTTTGATTGGATCGTGACATGATCCAGGATATTCCTACTGACAGCGATTAAGAATCAGATTAAAGCTTTAGCAGCGTCGACACCAGCAGCAACGATGTTGAGCACGCTGGCAGGGCAGGTCGGAGTTCAAAACCTGCCGTATCGGCAGCATCCGAATTCACCATGATTTTTTTCAAGGTTCGACTTTGAGAACCGCTATTGAGTGCAAAAACGATCAGGTTGACCTCAGGCTTAACTAACTTCTTGGGGTGTAGTCTCCTTTACAGTATTTTGTTATTTACATATCATGAAACTTTAATTATGAACCAACTTAATTTTTCGTGTCTGCTTGACTGAGGGAGAAGATGCAATATACAAATTATGACTACCAATATTCGACAGGAACAATGAGCATGTATATAGACAGTAGGGTAGTATGCACGATGCAGTGGAAATCACCGAAGAAAAATATGAAGGCGCCTGCCGCCGCGAGGTAGCGATAAGAGTCAACTGGTGGAGAAAGACAACAAGGGAAAAGATGTCGACGACGAACGCAAAGGGGATCCGACGCTAGATCTTGACGCGGACGTGCTGCCTGGTCGTGATGCGCTGTTCCGAAAAATTTGAGCGGCGGCGATAGCATATTTCATGGCGACGCGGTCGCAGAATTGGCGTTACGGGTTATAGGGAGGACGCAGGGAGGTGGCGCCATTCATGAGCACTAGGTTGGAAAAACAGGCAGAGAATGCTGTTCGCAGAGACCGCGAGCTCGACGAGTAGAACAACGAAGACATGTAATTAGGACAATGAAGACGACAATACATAAAAAAGATTCGTACCTTTCTCCGGCACGGTTTGCGGGGTCCAACCTTTACTAAATAACGTCAGTCGAATGCTAACATGGTTTCTGAAACATAGAGAGCCGATCTATTTCGGAATGCTAACAGGTCACACATCACTCAAGTTGATCATCACTAGCTGCGAGGACAGCCACATTTATATTTGGGATGTTTCTGCTATCCTTAAAGAAGCTGGCCTTCCCGGCCCAGCTCCAAAGATGAAAGGTGCTCCTCGAATACCTCCAGGGTTTTTTGACGATGCACTGCGAGAGGCTAATGTACGTGGTCTCCATCTATTATTCAATGTTTTGACTCATATGTTCTCAGTTGCGCATTCGTCTATCCCAATCCCATGGGCCACATGATCACCCCATTCCTGTACCACGCCAACGCACCCTCAGTCGCTTTCACTCATTCTGGCGTCGCTCAAAGTCACACGGCGAAACTGGGCACCATACTCGACCTCGGTCCCACCCTCTCAGCGGCTGGACTCAGAACTTAGTATCCGGTATACTGCGTAGACGAGATGGATCGGACATGGAGCTACGAGAGGTCGAGGTCCCTTGCACAGCGGGAAAGCCTGTGCGTTGTTTTCTGTTTCACCACTCTCCTTTATCGCTGACTCGTTTTTGCGCAGAGAAACTATCACGCTAGAAGGAAGCCAATTGTCAGCTCGTCTCAACCTCCAAAAATCCATGCCACGCAATTATCGCAACTACCTTCAACTGCCACTGCCTCGACGCTTTCTGCTGTCGCTGGTACCACTGTGGCATCGGGAACGCCCTCGCGTGCTCATATCAGCGGTGCTGGATGGCACGCTCGTTTCGTGGGGTGGATATGCTGCATGCCTATTCAGAACGCGGACTATTAGTGAAGTGACTTGTGTGTCTTATTCGTATTTTGCTATCTCATCTATAGTTAATTCATCATGACCATTGATTCTTCTGTCGTCATTCCATAGTACGAATGGAGGCCAGAAGGGTGTGACCAGGATAGCAGGTAGTGTCACGATTACTGACCGTACTCCATGAAATGTTGTGTCCTGGCAGCATCCCCCACCACTGGAAATCCCTATTTTATTGCTCGATCATCGTTCCCCGAACTCATCGCTGGCAGCGTTACGACAAAATGAGTCTGTAACTGTTGATCGACCTTATTCTAGCCTTTCATGCTTATGGCTTCGAAGATGGTGTACCCATGTGGTCAAACAAATTCGAATTAAGCCTGAGTTCTCTTTACACCAAGACTAAAAAGTGCGCAAATACTTCATTCACTTTGCGGCAAACATCACCATTATCATTTCTCAATCAGCAGCGAACTGCATATCATTCAATCAACAACAATCCTAATGGGAAAGCTGAAACATTACACACCAACGGTATCTTCTCGTCCGCAAGGGGGATCATTAGGATCATAATGATAACAGATTTTAGCACCAGCCGTACTCTATTACAAGGCGCAAGGGGTGAGTCATGTGAAAACTTGATGCAACGCAAACTGCTGCTTACAATGACATCGCAGGTACTCTTTTTATTGCAGCAGTCACTGCTCTTGGCACAAGTATCGCCGTCCGCCGTACACGCGCTGACAGACACTATAGATGTTGCCAGCGCAGCAACAATAATGGCGAGGAAGGAGAAGCGCATTGTTTTTGCGATGTGGTGTGAACTGCTGAAGTCCTCGTTGGGGTATGGACGGTAGGAAGATGACTTGCTCTTATAATCGCAAACAATAGTGCTAAGTGTTTTAGCCAGCATTTTATTTGGCATCATGGTTTAGGCAAAACCTGGCCGGTCCGACGCACAGCGGGAAAGTTTGCGTTTTTTTTACTCTTTCACGGTTCTTCTTGAGCTTGATTGCTGACTTGTTCTCACGCAGAGACTATCACGCTAGAAAGAAGCCAATTGCCGGTTCGTCTCGAGCTCCCAAACTCCATACCACACAAACACCTAGCGCATCATCATCATAGCTACCACCTCCAACTGCCACTGCCTCGACACTTTCCGCCGTCACTAGTACCACTGGGGCATCAGGAACGCTCTCGCGTTCTCATAACATCAGTGCTGGATGGCGTGCTCGTTTCGTGGGGTGGATATGCCGCATGCCTATTCAGAACGCAGATTAGTGAAGAAAACCTCATGGAGGACGTTGAGGATCAGTCGATCAAGGGCGAAGAGAGAAGCAAGTTCAACGAAAATATGCAGATACAAGACAGATACAACAATCACAGAACCGCAATATTGAGCGAGTGGAGAAACACATGTCCATTTGGGGTAATCTACCCTATGTCGGACAGTTCTATCTAGTCTACTATGCTGTGGACGCTTAAATTGCACAGCCAGTGCTGAGGCTGTGAAGTGAACATGAGAGGAAGATGCGCCAGTAGAGGACTGGAAAAGAACTTCCCTCCTAACTTGAATATTGAATCTCCATCGGACAAAACACTCACTTATTCATCGGATGAGTTTCAAATCTGGGACTTGGAGAAGGGCGTACAGGTTGGGAAGAAATGGGAGGACAAAGATTTTGGAGTCGAGGCCATATCATTATTGCCGGACGGAAAGACCATAGCAAGCGGGAGTGAGGATGGCGCAGTGAAATTGTGGGACGTCGACACGCCGGGCAAGGTCATTAAAACCTGGACGGGACACACACAAGAAGTTCATGTGTATGCTGGAGTTCAGACGGAGGGCAAGTAGTGAGCGGATCCGACGATGGAACATTCAGAGTGTGGGGTGTCCAGAGTGGAGAAACCAATCAAGGCAGGGGATTACATCTTGGCGGTTTGCTACTCACCCGATGGCAAGATGATTGCTAGTACTACCTACGGGGGTCACTTGGGTATAAAAAGATCGAACATTGAGAATCAGACTTGCAGCTTCGCGGTAAGTTGGAACATACTTTTAGGTATTACTGTCATACCGCTTCATCAACTTCATCCATCACGTCATCGGAAGGTACAACAGCCGCATCTGGACAGACGATCGAAATACAATTCAAGGCGACCTAGGCCTGAAACTTTGAAAGGAATGGCAATGACCATGGGAATTTTATGGAATCACATGCCAAGCAAACATGTTACCGTCTCGATTCTCGAACCTCCATTGGACCCACTCGCCATGCGGAAATACTCTCCAGGTAAGCTTCAACCTATGTCTTTCGTTTTTCCTGAGACCTACTCATTGATCCACTTGTCTTAAAGACGTCAGGCTTTCACATTCGCTCAGCGTCCGCCGCTCCAGTGGTTTCACAGCACTATTTACTCCTGATGACGAAACGAATCGTCGTATCGAGACCCAGTCAGCCCAGAAGGCACAGGCGTCTGTGGAAGCGTTGGCCCCTAGCACTGCCACAACCTCTACGTCAGGTATGTTGTAACATTCGGATAGTCTACAGATCGGTGCTGATTAATTTTCACAGCCAAAAAAAGAAAAGTCTCACCCAATCCCGCATCGATGACTGAGTTCAGAGAGATCCTAGCCTCGCTGCAGAACCAGATTGCGGAGATTCGGGGAGAGAATGAGACCACGAGAAAAACACACGCCGAGGACATTGAAGCACTGAGAAAAGAACTGAGAAAAGTAAGTCGCCCGTCTTTCCGGCCACAAACCCTGACAACAATCTCCACAGGTTACAATGTTAATAGTCCCTTTACATCTTCGCGTCCTACTCGACCTTGCGCGCAAAAAAGTTCTGGGACACCTCGGCCACAAGACATGGGACGACCTTCGCGCCTCCCACAGTAACGGTGTTGCCAACCTTGCAGATGACATCTTCGATTATCTCAAGGAGAAGGGTATATCACACTGCCCATCATCCGAGTCGATATCTTTCTTATGTTCACACAACAACGACCGACAGGCAGGAAATTCAGCCGCTCACAACGCAGAGGAGACCGATATCAGACGTGCACTCTCAATCCAGGCGCTGACGTCCCATGATCGAAGATGCTTGGAAAGTTTGTTTACATTGCGTACGGTGTACCAGTCTAAGCGTGATCATGGCATTTACTTGACAAGCGGTGACCTTCGGTCGTTGCGTTTTATTAGCACGCTCATGTCATTCCACTACAAAAGCAGACAATTGAACCCTATATTTGCACTAGACTTTACCTCATTTTGTCCGTGTGGCAAGATGGTTTTGTAACCGTTGATCGTCCTTGTTCTAGCCTTAGCTGATCGAAAATGATGTGACATGTGGTCAAACCACTTGGGATTAAACCCGAGTTCTCTTTACACCGAGACTACAAAGTGCGCATATACTCAGTGCCTCTATCTATTTCTCTATCACCAGCGACTGCACGTTATTCAATCAACAATAGCACTAATAGAAAAGCAGAAACATATAAGTCTTACCGCTTTTCAAAGGGGTTTTTTTTTGGCTAAAGATGTTTTTTTCCATTCATTAGTATGGTAACCCTAAAGTCGGTCAGAAGCTTCGCTTTTCTGAGGTCTTTTTGACTTCTGGCATCAACCTACAGTGAAGATGAAAGGGAATTCGAAATGTTCTGCAGGCTTCCATTCTGACTTACCATGATCGCAATCTTTTTCCGATTCTTGCTATGTTTACATTGTATGACTCGTGCTTATGTTTTCCATTTTCTTCGCATTCAATCCGACTCGAATATTTTTTGAGACTGTTCGTTGCACTTACACACAAATAGCAAAGTTTGATTGACCCTCGCCACTCGTTGTTTCGATCGATATGGGTACATTCTAATCAATCACGTTCTTGACTCGGAGGTCAAGACCTCAAAGGAAGTACCTTACTCGGTCACCTCGGGCTCCGATCCGACGAATATGCAAGTATCTGATAGGAATGTCTGCAAACCAGAGCTGTTCACGTGCTGATCGCTGTGCCAGAGATGGAGGTGCATGCGTGTAGCGAGGATCGCAAGGACACAGACTTCCAAACTGTATTTTGGAGGTTTCGTCAGTATTAGGAACTCGTAGCAGGAGTTGGAGGTCCGTACTCTTCAAAAGAGTGAAATAAGGACTGGGTGCAAGTAACGTCAATGGCTTGATCATATTGGAGGATATTTACGCACATCGGAAAACAGCAACGGTATGAGCACATTCATGGCTGAGAGAACTTTGGGAACAACAATTATCACTGATGGGCATGGAAAGATATGAGGTCCTGACTCACGGAGACCGCATGTATAGTAGAATATGTTATGCTTTACCAGGATAGAGTACAGATGCCCCTTGGCTGTACGCCAGCTCTGTATGATATGTATGAGTGTGAGGGAGAACAGTCCTGAGGAGAGCATCAGTCAGTGCGTATAGTTTCCAGTTCCCGGCGACATACCCAATTGAGATATAATCAAGAGCACGAACGACATGGAATACCAGACACCGCCTAAGATCCAGTAACAGCCTGTGATGCCTGGTATCACGCTGGTCACGACTATGCCAGACGACTAAATATGTGCGAATAGTAGTGGGGAAAGCCCATGAGAGCACAGACCATATGAGAGGGCTAGTGCCGTAAAACGAAGGCCGGCGGATATTGTAATAACAGCCTGGCTGATGAATCAACATTGTTCAGGTGTGGTCAGGGTATGAAACTCACGGAAACGGCGGTCAACATGACTACGCGTACGATCCGACTGTTGTTCCAAAGCGCACATGTTCTGAGCACAAAAATGCCTGAAGGAATAGGATCAGGAGCATGTACATGTCGTAGGAGAAGGACAGATACATTCGGAGCAAATGAGTGATATCAGTCCAAAACCTGCGAGAGGAAAGAGCGGCGCTTAGCCAGGAAGTGCATCCATTGGACAAGTACCGTGCACGTACATGAGTAAATATTGATTAGCACCCTGCATTTCTGGCGAAGTCATACAGTTATTGAGCATCACTCATCAGTGGGTCAATCCAACTGCGGGCTCACACACATTGGGGTTCTCGTCCGGTGCGAAGGTCACTGAAGTATAGCATTTTAGTTCATCATCGGGGGCATGTGTGTTCGTTTGGAATGAACGCACTATATAGGTCCATAGTCATGGAGAAAAAGGGGACATATCGTGCAAATATATAAATGACTTTTACCCTAGTCCAGCGCGACTGACGCAGGAATGTCCACTTTGAACAAGATATTATCAATGAACCAAGTGAGGCGTGTCTCGAAACAACTGCATTACTCACCTCTTCGTGAAGAAAACAAACATAATCATAGGTCTGGATAAACAGGTTTAACTCGACGGACAGGAATAGATTGGGACCTACCCAGAATGTAGCCTGGGCCACTGAGTTGTCAAGTTAGAACGAGGGAGAAGTAAATAAGACTACACGCACTGCGTATGTACTGGTAGCCGCACATGATATCGGTATCTGTTATCAACGGTTTTGCCCTCATATTAAGAAAGCGACGCACCGCTAAGTATTGCAGATCCCAGGCAGCTGCAATTTGGACATCGTCAGCCAAAGGCTCCATCTGCTTTGGATTGAGGGGTAGTAGAATAAACGAAACATCACGCTACTGATTTGTCTCTTATGAATGAGCTAGACTCTTGCCAAGATGCGGGCGGGCGGCGCCCGCCCCCGCCGCACTGACAGGTGTAAATGACAAAGACTGAGAACACAGTTCCGATTAGCTCAATGATGATGGCAATGCAGCGTTTCATTGGCTGATTTGTGTAAAGTCAACTGCGCAAGACCGGTACTAAGTTGATAAAAAGTTACGGTTGTCATCAGTGGCCCATAAGGTTGAAACGTGTGCTCATTATTGTGTGGGTCCTTCATTCTTGCTTTCGAAAGGCTTGAAGTTTGAAACACCCCGGCCATCGGTATACTCAGTCCTTGAAACACTTAGATCCAGGGACTTACGTTTCTACAAAGAAGTTTTGATGATCAACCCGGCCACTTCCGACGTTGGAGCGGGGCGTCCCATCAAACCTAGGCAGGTCCAGGCACAGTAGCAGGTGTCCTGGCGCGGTGGCAGGAGTCTGGCTCGTAGTCGCGCGTTGTCGCACTAGCTGTCCTCGATAGATAGAGCCGTAGTCTCCTGCTCTGTCAAAAGACTCCTGCTAATGTGGAGCTCTCCATAATGGCGTATGCTTCAACCATGATTATAACGCTACAAAAAAGGCAAGATTCCGCTCTTATCGCGAATGTCGACCTGCTCAGGGGAGCATGCTACCATCCGATGACATTTCCAGAGCCAAAATCCCTGTGGACGCAGAGAAATCGACGCTCATCAAGCGACTTCGAAGTTCCGTCGTGTGGTATCGAACAGTACTTCGAATCTTACAAAGTGAAATGATCAGCCAGCGTCAAGTCTGCGCAGACCTCAAAGACTCGGATATCCTCGGGAGGTTCCGTCGAGTGCCAAAGGTGTTTCTGTACCCTCATCGGTATCCCCTGCCATATTCCATCATCTCTTTCATGTTGTGTTGTACACCGTCTCTCTTGAGGTATTCTGTACAAAACGAGCGATGAAAACGTCCCAGCAGAAAAGGCGATAGATGTCTGACTAGTGGGTAAGGTCTTCGCGGCGATGGAGGAAAATTATTCATTGTGTTTGTTTGGGCACTGCGCAGATATGAGTACGTAGAAGTAGATCTGGATGAATAGGAACTTGCGACCAGGATGGCCATATTGCGAATTAGTCAGTAAAAGTATGGTGACGAAGGTGAAAAACTCAGGTTGGACGTGAGAGCAACTTGAAAGGCCGGTGAGAAGAACACGATGTAAGTGTAACGAAAATGTAGCACGAGGGGATAGATGTGGAGACTGCAGAATCATACGCATTGAACCGGTGGAGAAACACAGAGATGCAGGCTGGGGGGATAGTATGGTCACGATGTCTAGGGCAATGCAGATGAAGGGAAGCGGGTATTTGGTCCAAAATTAGCATTGGGCGCTTAACCTGCACAGCCAGTGCTGATGCGGACACGAGGATAAAACGAGGAAGACGCGCCAGTCGAAGACTTTAACGACGACCTCCCTCCTGATTTGAATCTCGATTGAACAAAACACCCACTCCGTCGCAGCTTGCGTTCCAAATTCATCTTTCTGTGCACAAGTCAAGTACATCTAAATTCAGAGTAAGTGATGGAGTCATATGGTAAGGGCTGGAATTATGACGTACCCATCAAGTGGATCCCGAAACCAAAAGAATATCGCATCCAGCTCCTGCGAAGCACGAGAATTCAGCGACAATGCCTTACCGAAAGATCAAAGTAAAGGGCAGAATCGGCAGCATCCTACACCTGCTCAGTGGACAGCGGGTCATCACCGATTCATCGAGTGAGTCACTTGGAGTTTGGGACTTGGAGACGGGCACACAGGTCGAGGAATGGGAGGTCCCTGTCAAATTGGATTCCACAGCATTGTCACCGGACGGCAAGACATTAGCAATCTGGAGTTGGGATGATGGCGCGGTGAAGTTGTGGAGCATCGACACGGGCAAGGTTACCAAAACATTGACAGGGCACGCAGCCCTATGGATAGATTTTGTGTGCTGGAGTCCAGATGGAGGGCGAGTGCTGGTCAGATCCATAGATGAGATCGATGATATCTGCGATGGGACATTCAGAGTGTGGGATGTCAAGAGCGGAGAAACTATCCTTGGACCAATCAAGATATCCGCTGGCTCGACGTATACCAGGCCCATGTCGGCTCACTACTCACCAGATGGAAAGATGATTGCCACGTTAACGAGGGATTGGCTGAAAATCTGGGATGGCAACACAGGCAAATTGCTCAAAACACACCAGTATCAAGGTTTTATTACGCACCTGGCATGGACCTCAAATGGAAAAACACTTTCCACCTGGCGCGCGCTGCGTCGGGGATTCCAGATCATGAAATTGGACACAGCCACTTGGACTGTTCTTGACTTGACCGAACATTCCTTTGTCGATTCCTTTTCTTCATCTCCCGATGGGCACTCCTTTGCAGCCACATCATTATCAAGCGGGACAGTGCAACTATGGAATATCGAAACCAATCAACCAATCTGCACACCACTTCACCATGAACTCGGGGTGCACTCTGGGACATTTTCGGCAGATGGAAAGTTCCTCATCACTAGCTGCGAGGACCGCCACATTTATATTTGGGATGTTTCTGCTATCCTTAAAGAAGTTGCCCTTCATAGCCCAGCTCCAAAAATGACAGGTACTCCTCGAATACCTCCAGGGTTTTTTGACGATGCACTGCGAGAGGCTAATGTACGTGATCTCCATCTATTATTCAATGTTTTGACTCATATGTTCTCAGTTGCGCGTTCGTCTATCCCAATCCCATGGGCCACATAACCAATCCACTCCAACACCACGTCAACACACTCTCAGTCCATTCTGGCGTCGCTTAAAGTCGCACGGGGAAATTGAGCATCATACTCGACCTCTATCCCACTCTCTCCACTGGACTAGAAACCTAGTATCTGGTATGCTGCGCAGGCGAGATGGATCGGACAATGAGTTGCGAGAGATCGAGGTTCCTTGCACAGCGGGAAAGCCTGTGCGTTTTTTCTCTTTCACGATTCTCCTTTATCACTGACTCGTCTTCGCGCAGAGAAATTATCATGCTAGAAAGAGGCCAACTGCCAGGTCATCTCGACCTCCCAAAATGCATACCACGCAAAAACCTAACGCATCATCATCACAGCTACCTCCAACTGCCACCGCCTCGACGCTTTCCGCTGTCACTGGTACCGCAGAGGCATCAGGAACACCCTCGCGTCCTCATATAATCGGTGCTGCATGGCGTGCTCGTTTCGTGGGCTGGATTTGCTGCATGCCTATTCAGAACGCAGACGGTCACCATTAGCGAAGCGACATTTTTTTGATTGATATTTTGCTGTGTCATCTATAGTTAATTCATCGTGACCATTGACTCTTCTGCCGTCATTGCATAGTACAGCGGAAGCTACATAGGAAGGTGTGACCAGATAGCAGGTAATTGGGACAACGAAGAGCTTCTGCAGGACGCTGAGCACGAACTTGGGTTGGAGGGAAAACGAAGCATTTCTCAACAATAACATATCTACAGTTCAAGCATGGGCAAGTTGTTTAGTATCAAAGGTCGTCTGACAACTAAAGACTTGAAGTCGTTGACTCGCGATCAATCGCTTTCGAGCTTGAATGCTTGCCCTCAGGCTGGTCTAGCGATATGAAAGTAGTCGTGGCGTGCTGTGTATATCGTTGTGCTCAGCGTGGTCTTGATAGGGCAAGCAATATTATACTTCAACTCAGGTAGTATCTGATAGAAAAGAACATCGGAATGTGTACCATCGCACGATAGAAAGACTATCAGACGTGATGTAATTCTGACGTGGATACCTGAAATCCGCTATGAATAGGGTGATGGTCAGAACTCTTGGGAAAAGGTGATTAATAAACGTACGTTCGGTACGGCAACGACTCCCAACAACGGCCCAACTTGCCAAGTGTTACGTCCCGAAACCACACAACAGACAGTGGGGAACGACAATGAAGCGAATCAGATTTTGAATACTAGCGAATCGTAAAGATCATGCAAGTTCGAAGTGCTTGCCTGAGGAGACATTCAAGATCCTGGCAGCGATGAAAAACTAATAGGCATCCTCACTACTATTTGCCATACTAGAAGTTATTCAACGACGTCACCTTGACTGGGGCATGCATTCCGGCAGCAGCTTAATGGCGTCCATGACGAACCTGCTGTATCCGTACCACCGAACCCCAAAGTTCACCAACTTTGTAATTTCAAGTTTGGACTCAATCTTGAAATTACAAAGCAAGTGTTTAATGGACGTGACAGGCGCCGTGGAAAAGATTCGTCAGCTGCTCAGTCTTCTCAGCATCCTCGCCTCTGCTCGATACGTTCCTCCGAGTGTGGGCGCGTGAGTGAGGATGGCGCAGTAAGATTGTGGAACATCGAAGGCACTGTGCGGATACGAGTACGCAGAAGTAGATCTGAATGAGTAGGAATTTGTTATTAAGATTGCCAGATTGCGAATTAGTCAAAAGTATGGCGACGAAGGTGAAAAACTCAGGTTGGATGCGAGAGCAAAGGTCGGTGAGAAGAACACAATGTAACGAAAATGTAGCGCGAGTGGATGGATGCGGAGACTGCGGAATCATACGCATTGAAGCGGTGGAGAAACACAGGAATGCAGGCTGGCGGGATAATTGCCGAGATGTCGAGGGCAATGCAGATCAGTGAAGGAAGCGGGTATTGCAGATCAGTGAAGGAAGCGGGTATTGATCCGAAATAATAGCGTTGGGCGCTTAATCTGCACAACCAGTGCTGATGCTGTAGAGCGGACACGAGGATAAAAGGAGGAAGACGCGCCAGTAGAAGACTTTAACGACGACCTCCCTCCTGACTTTAATCTCCATCGAACGAAACACCCACTCCGTCGCAGCTTTCATTCCGCATTCATCTTTCTGTGCACAAGTCAAGTACATTTAAATTCAGAGTAAGTGATAGATTCATATGGTAAGAGTTGGAGTTATGATGTACCCATCAAGTGAAAC